CGCGCACCCGCGGACCCGCACACACAGATACAGATAGCGATGGGGATGCGCGGAGACACCGCTCCGTGCGGGCCGCGCACCCGCACACACAGATACAGATAGCGATGGGGATGCGCGGAGACACCGCTCCGTGCGGGGCTCAGCTACTCGCCCCGCCCGGTGCCCCCGAGACGGCGCCCAGGGCTCCGCGGCTCGGTGCCCCGCCACTCTCGGGCTCCGAGTGACAAGGAATGTCTCTCGTTGCAGGACCGAGACCGGGAACGCCTCAATGCAGCGTTTGCTTCGATTGTGAATTTGATGAGAGGAGTCTCAGAGGAATGCGAGGTGAGGGGAATGTGCCTGCCAGAGGCCTCACCACTTCTACTGCAAAATAGAGGCTTCAAGGTTTGCTCGTTGTATGGCAAGGGTCCAGCCAGTGAGCCTGGGGTGCCGGCCGAGATGAGGACATTTGGGGCATTCAGCATCATGTGGCAGGGTGCATCTCACCCGTGTTGTCCTGACCGGCTGAGCTGCTGATAAACACCACTATCCGCCTTTTCTATAGACAGCACCAGTAGCTCGGTGCAGATTTTAGCAGAAGGTTTCTCCATTTCATGGTGGAAACACAGTGTGGCTAGAGGGGCAGAAATGTTAGGTGGCATCACAAAATACATAGTGTCACAAGGTAAGGAATGTTTCCAGTGCTCCTAAGTATCTCTGCTGGGAAATGGCCTTATGACATAGTAACCTTTTGTTGTTATTAGGAGAACGTGAGCCTCTCGTGCTGGCTGATATCCAGTTCTGGGTGCTGGAAATAAGGGAGAGTTTGAATCTCGAGTGAAGAGATTCCTTGTGTCCTGTGTTTGTTTTGAATTTAGTGTTGCTGTTGTGATTTAACTAAGTACCATACAGCTCACTCCCTCCCTGCCCACCTCCCCTGGCAGGATGGGGAGGAGAATCTGGAGAAAAGGAAACTCGTGGGTTGAGATAAGAACAGTTTATTGATTGAAACAAAGAAAAATATGATAATACCAACGGTAATAACAGTAATAATTGTGATGAAAAGAGGACAGAGAAATAAAACCCGAGAAGAACAAGTAATGCACAATACAGTTGCTCGCCACTCACTGACCATTGCCCAGGCAGTCCGCAGACAAGTCTCCCTGTTTATATACATTGCATTCTATGGGATGGAATTTCCTTTTGGCTAGTTTGGGTCAGCTGTCACAGCCCTGCTCCCTCCTGGCACTTTCTGCACCTCCCCACTGGCAGAGCATGAGAACAGTCCTTGGCTTAGGGTGAGCACTACTGAGCAATAACCAAAACATCAGTTTGTTATCGACACTGTGCTCCTACTAAATCCAAAACACAGCACTCTGCCAACTACTAGGAGGAAAACTGGCCCTATCCCAGACAAAACCAGGCCAAACTGGATTTGGGATGTTGCTACTGGGTAAGGAGAGTGGGCTCAGCTTTTGTGTGTGATGAGCTGAAATTGAGAGGTTTGGTATACAGGTGCACAGCTCCACTGCTCTTGCACTGGCTCTGGCTGGCAGGTGTCATTGCTCTGCTGGGTGGGCTGATTGGGAGCCAGCCTTGTGAGCACAGCCCTGCAGCCCAGCTACTGCACTGAAGTCACCAGTTAATTCTAAAACAACTGGGGCAGAATAGAGTTTTACAAAGTGTAGTGAGGCCCATCCTTACCAGTGACTTGGCAGTGCTCGGTTTACAGTTGGACTCTATGATCCTAAGGGTGCCTTCCAACCTAAATTATTCTTTGGGTCTATCTTGTGCCCTGTTAAGAGTATTAAAGTTGGAACAAGCAATGGATGACTTCCACATTTATGCATCAGCCAAGACAGTACTGCTTCAGTCATTTCTGTAGAAAAAAATAATCATAAAAGGGGGGAAATTTCAGACCCACAAGTTCATGGCTAAGTTTTACAAAGTGCAAATAAAAATCCACAGCTGAACACAACCATTTAGGCATTTGAATGCAAACAAACTTGTAGTTTAAGATGAGATGTTAAGGGTTACTTAGGGATTAAAATTTACCCATTTCTCACCAAAAGTTGGATTTCATTTCTTTGCTCTGTACCATCATGCAAAAGAGATGCTCTGTGAAGCATTATGCACCAGGTCAGCATCTGATATATTTGTAGTTTCACAAATACTGCAATACAAGCAACCAGAGCTGTTGATTTGTGCATAAACTCAAGGAATAAAGCACAGCAGTAGATTTGGAAGTAAGAATTGCTATTTGCCTTGTTTTTGTAAAACATCAGTGAAATAAGAGATATTTTGGATCTTTTTGGTCCCTGTGATCAACAAGGTAACCTTGGTAGGAGCTCTGTGGTGACAACAGATGGCAGCAGAACTGTACTCCAGAGTTTAATTTGCAGTGGGGAAAATGCCAGTACATCTGCAGTGGAACCAGAAGAAGGCTGCTGTGTGCTTAAATACACTTGTCAAAACTGCTGTGAAAATAGTACCAGCCTTGAAGACACTTCAGCTTCTTTACTGACTCATTTTTCAGTATTAACAGATTCTGCTTTTAGAGCACTGCTGCTGCACATGTCCTGCAGAACCCATCTTCACTGACTGGGTTGCAGAGCACCTGGCTTGCATACATGTCCTCTTAAGGACCCATAACCTATGCCTTCTTCCACCAGGGCTTTTCTTGACCAGCCTGATCAGGCAGGCATTTCCAGATTATTCCTTCTGACATTTTCATGAATTCACTTCTGAGGGATCAGAGTCCCTGCCCTACCTATTGTGTTAGAAAACAGGCATCTAAAATCAGGCCTATGAGGGAGTCCTGTAGCAGAAGGCAGGTGGCCTTTGGAGATACAGGCATTGTTCTCACCCTCACAGAGAACAAACCAGCCAGTTAGTGCACAGCATCACTGTTTGTGTAGTTATACTTTCAATTTTAAATCTGCAGTGGCTGCAAGTATGGTTTGGTATCTCCTACATGACATTTTCTGTTTCTGTTGCTGTCCAGAAGTGCTATGGGTCTATGGCAGCCAACAAGTGCAAAGAGAATGAAATCAAACACTTGTGCAAATACCATGGCAAGTCAGTAGAAAGAAAGATGGATTCCATAGAAGAAGAGGTAAGTAGGTACTTCTGGTTGTGATGAAAGGTTGCTCCTTCCCTTGCTTTGGGGCACTTGTTATCCACCTGATGTCTGTGGCACTCACACTCATGTATGTAGGTTGACCTTATGACGTAAGAACACCTGGAGTGATCCAAGCCTGTGCTGGGTTGGGGGAAGGCAGAGTCACTTCTTGTGGCACCGATCAGTGTCCTATCCATCCTTTGTGAAGGGAAAAACTTCATGCACCTAAAAGCTTCCCTTCTCTTGGCCTAGATTTGCTTTGTGTGCTGGATCATTAGAAAATCATTCTCTTTTTCTTTCCAGGGGACTGAAGGTCCTGTAGAAGCCAGGCAAGCTCAAGCTTGCCAGCAAAGGGTAAGTGTACAGAATACTTTGGTTTTAAGTGGAAGTATTTGCTAGCATTTCTTTTATCATTTTGAATCAAGCTGGTTACAAACTGTGACAGATCTGGAGACCTTGATGGCACAGAAGATTTACCAATGGTGCATTCAAAATCAGAATATATGTATAGGCAGTCAAATGGGCATACAGAGACTTGCACAATTAGTTAGAAACCAGATTGTGGCATTCTTGCCCTTGGCCTTTCCACAGGCTCTCTGAAGACTCCTGTTCCTCAAGGAGAAGAAAACTGATTTTATTTTTCAAGGCCTAACACCTCAGCAAAACAATTTCAGGAACTTTTACGCCACAAAAGATGAGAAACAGCATAAATTACAGCACAGTGATTACTTCCACTGATTGAAACATTAGCTAAAAATGCTTTGAGTACGGCACTTGCTAATTTTTGTACTGACAGAAACATTTTACAGTTTTGTTTGCACTGCCTTCCATATATTTAGAAAAGTCTTATTATATTTATATAGCAGTTGAAATGTAATTTTTTTACCCAAACACTTTTTTTTGGGAAAGCTAAGATAAGTAACCAATAACATAGCTTTTCTTCTTTTTTTTTTTTTTTTTTTTTTTCCCCTTTTTTTCCCTTAAAGCCCAGAAGACCTTCCAAAGATTTCTACATTGAAGTTTCTCCTGGTATCTATTCTGTCACGGCAATCTCAGAAGATATGGTGGAACACACCTACGTAGTAGATGTCAGTGCAGGACAAAGTGTTGATTTAACTTTTGTTCTGTGATGTTTCTTGTTTCCTGGCAATAGCAGGAATAAAACATGAGGCTCTTTTTAATGTGTGTAATGAGCTATAAATATCTTTTCTTGTTAGCACTTTAATAGTAGCTTCCTCTTTGGGGCTCCATTTTTATAGCCTGTATATTTGTTTTCTAGTTAATGCAATTATATGCAGCCCACTTTGTACATTGATTTTTATATATATTTGTACATTGTGTGCCTTTTAAATCCAATTATGTGACTGTGTAATTCTAGATTCTTCTGCTCTAAGCAATTAAAGATACAATCAGTGGAATAAAATATATGATCAAGCCTTTGTGATGACAGCTTCTTTGGTATGATCCTCAGAGAGAACCCCATGTCACAGTGTAGACAAGAGAGAGTATGGTCCATGTGGTGTGAATATTGGGTGTACATTAGCTTCTGTAGGCTGGCACTGATTTTAGAGCAGCTGGCTCACAAGCCACTCTCTTGTTGGTACTTTTGCTAGTCTAGTAAAGAAATGAAATGCAAATGAAATTCATTACCTAGAACCCCAACTCAGAAACGTGCTGAAATATGCCAGGTGTTCAGTCTAGGCACATGAGCTATTGATTCAGGTTCTGGCTCTTTGCAGACCATGCTAAACCCTTTTTTTGGGGGCTGTGGGGTACCCTAAATTATCCAATTTACTGCTGAGCAACTGCACACTGCAGCTATGGCCAAGTTCATATGCTTTAAACATGAGCAGTCCCGCTAACTCCCTGGATGCTTAACTTTGCCAAAGGACCAGATTCCATGTTTAGAAATAGTGATGTGATCTAAATACATCTGTCATCTTTTTGTAGGTGATAGTATTAAGGTTTCTGTTCATTTTCATCAGAATATAAAAATCAGTGGCTTGAATGCTAATAATTTTGTTGTTTGCATCTACAGTAGCAGGTCCTTTAGCCTCTGGCTACTTTTGCTTGTGCTTTAGTCCCCCAAAAAAATCAGCTGTCAGCTTGTATTGTTTCTCCATTCCTTCTGGCTTTCTACAAACAGAAATTGCTTTGCTGAATTTCTGTGGCTCACTCCAGAGAACTGTAGACAAATGGGAGGTTTATTTGACTCTTGCTGTGCATCTGTTCAGGCTTTCAGGCTTTTAGTGCTCCTACTAGCACATCTGATCTCTTCAGAATTGTAAAGTCAAGTCGACATAGTTAGGAATTTATTGTAGCACTTTGGAATAAAGAATGAGGATGCTCAAGTTTAATGTGGGTGAAAGTAGAGTTTCTCACTTATTAAAATTATACAGTCATCCATAAAGATACTCTACTGAGACAGTACCTAAAGCAGAACTTGATTTGTTTAAAAAGTACAACACTGCTAGAGTAGAAGCAGTTTACCTGAAATTTCAGCCCCTGAACTTGATCAGTTGTACATGTACTGGATTCTAGTTGATCATGTCTCTGCTTTGCTGCAAGTGAGCTCTGACAGGGTCTGTAACATCAGGCTTGTCATCTCGAACACAAGTCACTTTACATTTATCATCTGATGCTGCTTTGTATCTTTGTTCTTCTGATGCTGCAAAGTCTTCTTCCTGGAGGACAGAAAACAAATCCCTCAGAAGTCTGGTCTAAAAAAAGCATCAATGTCTTTGTTAACTGCTGCACCTCTGCCTCACATAGTTTTAATACTGGTCTATTTTCTGTGCTAGCAGAAACTTTACTGCTGAAACACACAATTGGATAGCAAGAGCAAAAGATTTTCAGAAGCTGCTAGGCTTTAATTAAAAACTTTTCTACTTCAGAAGTCAGGAGGATTTTGTTGACTGCAGTGAGGGGACATCAACCCCCCCAGAGAGTACCTCTGGGAAGCCTGTCCTCTAACTCCACTTGTTTGCTGCAAGCCATTTCTGATGCAGCCTGCATCATGTGATAAAACTGCTTCAGCTATCTCTGGGTAGCAATGGATCTTCTGGGTTTAAAATCACCAAGGGCTATTTTACAGGAATAAAACTCTGCCATTATACCCTCTATTACCACATTGCATCCACTACGGTTTTTCATGCTGCTGCTTTGGGGCTGGAATGAAACAATTCTGTTTTCTTATTTGTTTTACCAAAAGGCAACTCATGTCACTTCAGTGCACAGCTCTGACATTGCTAACGTAGAGCATGCCTGCCTGGAGCTCCATACTGGCCTGAAAATTCCTAGGAAATCAATTACAAAGGTGTGTAGTTATGTAACTGATTATTTGAACAATAAAGTAGAACAGAAATAGAAAGTAGGAACCATACAGTTGGTAAGTTGGCATCTGCTTAAAATGAATGAGTACAATTGTGAGAATACAAGCTGTATTCCTGTATATTCTCTGTTCACCAAGACATGTTATTAATGGATTCATCTCTAAACATGCAAGTTTTGTACATTTCAAGTTTTACCTTCAAGTCAGCTCACAGTAGCAAGAGCATGAAGGTACAGAGAAGCTAACATTTCATTTCATGAATGTAATTTATTAATTCTACCCTGATACTCTTCTGCAGAGCACTGTTCATCCTTATATTCTCTTTCATCTTCCCTTTCTTCCTGTAAGTTTTTTCTTCCTCATTTCTGTATTTGCTTTTTTTAGCATTCAGGTTCTGATTTTTTTTTCAAGTTTTTCTAAAGCGTGAGGGAAACCAGGCCTAAAAACCAGGGTAGTGGTGTTGTTCCTAGCTGTGACACAGTTTGCTTACTCTGTATCCCCCAGCTTCAGAGCAGGAATCTGCTGTTTAAACTGCTTGCCTCTACTGAGGAAGAGAAGAAACTCAGCAAAGACTGTTTACTAAAAAATCTGCTTTTATCTCTCGGGGACAGAAATTGTGACTATCACAATTTGATAGGCAGAGCTCAGCACCTTTCCATGGATTTAACATAGAACTTCTTTGGGTAGATGTCAATGGGCATTTGGCAGGTTTCCGAATTGCAATCTGCATTATTGAATGCTCATGTGGCTACTGACAATTGTCTCCATTTTACCAAGTAGCTTCAGCCCTTCCTTAAAGCTTGGGGATTTTTGTTTTGGTTTTATTAGTGGAGAACTTTCTTACCTATCACAAAACTGGTGGGTGGCCTCAGAAAGCAGTTACAAACAATGTAATTTTTCTTGCCAGGTATCCATTTACAAGGAAATTTTTTCCATTCAAACAAACCTCCTGCTTCCATAACTACAGAATTAATATAGATTATCTTACCCTCAATGATGGCTTGAAATCTTGGTCTCTAAGGATTTCTTTCAGTGTGAGTTGCCCTCTGGGAGTCTGCCTGATGGTTTCAAACATTGCACTCTGCTGAGCTGGGGCCACGCTGGACATGTCCACACTGGAGATGGCTTTGGATTCCAGCTGGCCCTTTGTACATGTGCTGCTACAAGTTCCAGGTCCTGGGAAGGAGTAGAATTGTATGTAAGAGTGAAACCAGAACTGAAATGAAGAAACATTCATTTCAGAAGAGAGGAAAATGCACTTTAAGCCTGAAAGGAATACTTTCAGGTTATACTGAATAGATGAGCTATGCAGGTTAAAAGGCTTAGGAAAAGGCTTAGGAAAATGACAGGAAACAGAGAAATGTCTGTGCTTCCAAATGAAATTAATTGTTCCGGTAGTTTTCCATGGGATGAGTGGCCAAAAGAAGAGCCAGATGAGGTAGCAGAAACACTGGGGAGGGGGAAGAATTGCATCAGAGTCTGATATGCAAATTTACAGTATTAATACCAATAACCTGCAGGCAAAGTGACTGCCCTGCCCAGAAGACTTCTGGTTTTGTTCCCTCTGACAGGTGCTTCTCTGTGGGGTTGTTTGAAGGTACCTGAATTACTGGAATAGGACTTGTGGTGGCTTCTTTTCCAGTACTTCCCCTCAGGTCTTGCAGAATTCTTTAGCCTGGGCTTTTCAAGACAGCTGGAGCCTGTGTTAACAGCACTGTCCCCCACAGTACTCTTAGTGGGGGATAGCTTCAGGTCCCTCTCTGCATCAGAAGAGGGAGAAGATGTTGCCACAGCTGCAGCTTCTCCTTGTTTTGTGCCTTTCAGTTCTAGAAGGCCTGGAGAGAGCTCACTGCTGGATGCTGCCTCTTCAGCTTTGTCCTGAAAGACCAGAGCCCTGGAGGGAAGAGGCCACCAGGCACCAGCACAGGGGTGGCAGCAGCAGATGCACCTTCCCCAGGCTGCTGAACAGCAGATCCCACCAGCACAGAGGTGGTGGAAACGTGGCCAGCAGGGAGAGCAGAGCAAGTGCTGCTTGGCAAGGCTGGACAGAGCACAAACAGGAATCAGGGCTGCCTTAGGACTGCAGGGAAGAATACAAGAGTTAGAGTCCTGGCTTGGTTTGGGCTTCACTCTGCTGGTGAAGGGCATATGGATCATCTCCACAATCCTCTCCCACAGGCTAGGAGGGATCCACAGAGCCACACCACAGGGGAGTTTCACTTTCTTGTCATTCCAGAACTGGACAGTAACTTCTTCATCTTCTGAGGCTGTTAAGAGAAAAAGCAAGAAGCCTTAAGCAGCTGGCCTGCCTGGGCAGTGCACACAGACAGATCAGGCTTTACAGCTTTATGCACTTTCTACTCCTGTCAAGAGGCAGGGTCAGCTCTTGCCCCCCTCTAACATCTCACCACAGTGTCACAGAGGTGAGTGGGCAGCCTGGACACCAGCACTAAAACAACAGGCCTGGCAGCATCTTTTCACCCAATTTGTCATCAGATGAACAAGAAAACTATGACAATAATTTTTGTTGTTGCTGGCAAATTTAGCAGTACTGCTCTGAGAATAGTGTTTTGGTAAGTCAGTGGAGCTTGACTGTCAGACACAGGAAAAATGAATGAGCTGTTGAAATCTCCTACGTGTGGGTGATAAAATCACCCCCAGATGGACCATTTGGTACAAATGTGAGCATTTAAGCTCAGATGAATGCTTCCTGGAAGTTGTCTCACTTGTATCTGTCAGGAAAAGGCCACAGTCCTGCACATGGCAGCCACAGCCTCATCCCAGCTACACCCATGGACAAAGATGATGACATTTTTATGGGTCACAACTTCCTTAGGGTCACACTGGTTAGGTTACACACAGATATCCATCAGTTCCTGCAAGCTTGGAGCAACACTAAGCTGTAGTCTGTCCTCTGTAATTTCTCTGGCAGCAGCATCCTGATGTAGATGTTAGTTTATCCTCACTGGCATTCCAGAGGAGCAAGACAGCAACACCTTTTCTTACCTCGTAAGGGATCCCTTGTCTCAATGCCTCTGAGGACAGTTCCTGGGCCATACCTGGCCCTATCTGGCTCCCAGGGTGCCAGCACTCTGTCTCCAGGGAGC